ACCACTCGTTTATATGCAGTTTGTGTAGTAATAAAATATTTTTTATATTCGATTTTCATTCTAGGACACTTGGTGTGTGTAGGGAGGTATGTTTGCCTCCCTCTTCAATATGGACATAAATATTCTTTATGCTCATATATACACACCAGTTGTTTACATGTAGCTTAAAGCACATACCCATATATACATACATGCATGTACAATAAATACAGTGACGGTGGAAAAAATAGCACAAGCAAATTCCAAATGCAGCTTCTGTTCAATGCACATTTTCTGTTCTTACTTACTAAGGTTATGTATTCAACAGAATCCAGATATGGGTCAGTCTCGAAGAAAGAAAATACCAAAAAACCTTGCCTCACAAAGAGAATATCCATGCTGAAGTTGGCAGAATGTTCTAACAAAATGATATCCATATTGCTAGTTTATAGTTGCATTATGAAATGATTGTCTCTTCCCGGAGATACCTTAAAAATTTGCCTGAAGAAGTTGCTGCAGGCAGATTCTTATAATAGTGTTATTTTTTTTACCGCAGCTGTATGTTGTTTTATTTGTTCTGTGGCATAAGAAAAGTGGCCATGAAACGGGCTGAGTGCTTGAATCTCGTTAAATTCTAAAAACGACCTCTGTTTTTGTTGAACTTTGCTGTATTATTTCAATTGAGTTGTTTTTTCTGAGATTTGCTTTTGATGGAATTTCAACTTGGAAATAAATTTTAATACGTCTTTATAAGTCGCTTTGGGTTGGCAAACTTAACTTGACTTGTCCCTTTATTTTTGGAAAAAATAAATGTAAACTTAGTTTTCACTGCGATAAAATAAACCAATAACTGTTGTTCATACTAAGAGTAAATAAAATAAATTAATAATTAATTAACTTACATTATCTCTTGGGCACCTGGGACATGAGTACGTGTATGTAAATCTAAGTTTATTCGATCAAGGCTAACAGCAACAACAGCTTTAAGTGAAGCTTTATTCCGTGCTTCTTATGTTTATGGTTGTTGATTTGAAAACCTGGCATGGAACAAGATTCAACATCAAAGATACTAGTTTTAAAAGATTAATCAACTATAGAATTTCTATGTTACATATGTTATAGTTTTAAGTTAATTACGCTTAAAGTTTAAGCTCGTGCATTGTTGCAAACAAAAACGGTGCTTCTTTTCAAAAATTCTGTCCCTAACGTATGTCAAAAACTGTTATAAACGGAGAGTTCAGCTTTAAAAGATATAGTTGGAGATACTTGATTTGAGATTATTGTCATTACACTGCAGATTCTAAAGAATATGAAGACAAAGAAACAAGGCACTACATTGGAGATCAGAAAGTTATACAACTTTGTTTTACCTTCAGATGACTTGACTGGATAAATCAGACTGGCATTACAAAGAATCATGCCTGCAACGGAGACTGGTCTGAAAATGCAAGAAAAATTTAATTATTCTAGCTAGGAACAATATGCCTATGGTAGAGGACGAACTCTGAATAAAGTGTTGTTAACAGAATCCTCCTAGGACCTTATACTCGTATAAAAAACACAGTTAACTTATTAAAACTTAAGTCGAATAAAGTTTGTTGGGCTTAATGATTACGTTTGAGCACTTCTCAACCTTCTGAGCCTGCATTTAAGTGCAAAACTTTATACTTTCTAATTATGTGCGTGTGTGTGAGTGGGTGGCTGGTTGGGTGGTGTGTGAGTTAATTCCAAAGACGACGATTACAACGCGCTCTCGAAAAATTAATAGACTGTGAATATGTTAATGATGAAAGTTGCGTTACGCTTTGACGGGCGAGCGCTCAAAAAACGCAAATACACACACACACACACACGAAAACAATTAGAAATGCTAGGAGTGGCGAACTTGAGCCATTTTCGCCACTTTCATAAATAATAATAATGAGCCGTGAGCTGAGAGTTGAGGCGGCAGCTCAAAGCAATAAAATGTTAAATGCATATCAAATTGCTGGCCATTTGCCACTGGTACTCGTACTTTGTCGTCCACCTGACCTTGCCCAGTTATTTATTTCAACGTATTTATTTGCCTGGTGCTAATTTAAATTTATTATGCGAAGCTCTCTGGCCGGCCGTAGCGAATGCTATAAATTTCAAATGCTAAGCCGTTGGCGCCGCAATCATTAATTATAATTCACTTGAGCTGCGAAAGAGTCCCTTTTCAGACCTTGAAATATGCGTGAAAGGATGTTTGCCGGACAATCTGACAGCAAGGCCCGGGCTTGCCCGTCCCGGTTGCTCACAGAGCATTGGAAATCGATTATGTCGCAGTCAACCACAAGCGGCAATTTGCGAAGAGGGCTCAAAAGTGAAAAAGCGTCGAATGGGCATACATGCATCTAACAAATGCAAAATTGTCGTCCCGTTAACGTTGAAGTTGTCAATGCGTCATTTTGCCTGGCACTGACAGACTTTGCAAACTGGTTACTGGTAACTGGTAGCTGGTAACTGGCAAACTGTGTACCATTTAACGAAGTTGTCGTTGACAATGATGTTTCCATTTCGCCGCTGCTCCTGCGGTTTTCATTTTAAAAAGAGAAAACTTTTCATGCACTTTCGAAAATTACACATGTAAATTGCATGTGCAAACCTCAAACGAATCGACAGTATCATCGCTTACATGCTTCACCATTGTGCTTTGACCAAAATGGTTGAATGGCCGATTGCCCTGACTGGCTGGCTAGCTGGCCAACTGGCCGATGCATCGGCTGTGTAAATAATGTGTCAATACACTATGCACACATGGGCACAATTGCAGTTGTTGTTGTTGCATCTAATTTGCAAGTGTCACATGTCAATATGTCGCTGCACTTAATGCCTTCAAACTCTGCGTAAATTATGGCCAAGCCAAAGTCAAACAAGCCAACTGCTGATTGAAGGGGCCACCCTCACTTACTTCACATTAAGCTGCTCAACACCGCCAGTACTTAAGAGCTGTTCACACTGAGAAACCCATGTTAGTTGAAGAGTAAGATAGATGCATATATCTTTCTAAATGCCATAAAAAGCATTTTTACAAAAGAAATTTTGAAGTTTTTACACCCTGTATGGGGACGTTTACGTTTGCGGAAAAGTGATAAGGAAAAACACCGACTTCAAATATATATGTTGTTAATAAGCATGACGAGACCAATTGATATAGCCATGTCCACTCCAAATCACCAAACTTGGCATGTAGACTCTCTCTATAGCGAGGCAACATAAGTTTATTTAATTTTTGTAAGCGCTTGTTATACTCGCATACAAATACAAATAAATAGCTTTGTGATAAAATATCCTGTCAAATGTAATTGAGTAATTTGTAATTACAAACATTATTCTAATCTGGAAATAAGACAAATATTCTTTTAATAACTTTCATCAAGAAGTATTCAAGATCCAGATGGTTGGTTCGCTTAGTTTTGTGGGACTCTAAAAAGAAAGGAATGCTTTCTTGTTTGAATTTATTTTAAATTAATTTATTACATTTATGTATAAAAAATGTTTTTGTTAACATTACACTTGTATTATCGATTAACATTTTGTAGCTGATTACTTTTTTGTTAGTTCCAAAAACATTCCTAACAGCATATCGCAGCGAATGTATGCTGCCTGAAAAGCAAATTAAATTTTGTCAACTTGTCCGATTCCTTATTAGATATTATTGTATTTGCTTTTTTTTTTCTTTATAAATTAACTGTTATACAGTTTTTAATACGTCAACTGCCTTGTTTAATCACAAATGTTTATTTACTAAATATTTTATAAACGTCCTTTGGATGAATGGCTTTTTATTCTGAATTTTCTCAGTCAAATTCCTGAAGTTGAAGACATCGTCTGAACGGGTCCCATTAATGGCAAATGTTGGTGAGAGGAAGTGGCTCTTGTTGTTGGTCATAATGCTGCCCAGCTTACATGTCAACTTCGTCATCAACTAGTACTCTGTATAGCTGCTGCATTTTGCCTTTGTGTGGTAATTTGCGTTTAATTTTGGGCAACTTTGTCTGGCAGTCAACAGCCAACAACTGAAGCTGATGCCAAAGCTGATGCTGATGCTGACCGGGCCAGCCAGGCAGCCATACTTGTAGTCATAGTCAGCAAGTGGAGCCCCAACTTTAATTATAATGTACGCCTTTGAGCTGGGCTGCTGCCTTGGCTGCCTTGGGGCTGCCTCGTTTAAATCTATTATTTGGCGACATTAAAACGCCGTAAATGTTTGTGTGTGTGTGTGCGGTGACAATGATGGAGGAGGAGGAGGAGGGCAAGGCTGGGCAGAAGGTACAGGGGTTGGCAGCTATTAAAAATTAATTTGACACGTTGCGCTTGCATGTCAAAGTACGCCGCCCCCTAAAAATGACCCCCGTGCCCCACATCAGCAGTGCAAAAGTTTTGCAAAGCGCTTAGCAAGCATAATAATTAATGAATGCGAATGTGTGTGTGTGTATGTGTGTGTGTGTGTGTGTGAGAATTGCAGGCTCGTAATTAACGCGTTTCGTGTCGAAGAAATGACGACGAATGCAGGAGGGTCGGCTCCCGGCGAGGGTGCTGCTTCGCATTATATTTAATAGCTTTTTGCTTGTTGTATTTATACTTATATTAATTATTATTAACTTGTTGCCAACATCGTCGCTCATGCAAGGCCGCCATTTGCCGCCGCCGCCGCCGCCGCCGCTGCCGCCATCTTGGACATGACTGCCTGTCAAACCTGGCCGGCCTGGTGATTATTGTTTGCACTGTGATTTTTAGCGCCTTGCCCGCAAGTCTGTATGTGTGATTGACAAATTGCGGCCTGTCGTTGTGTTAATTATAAGCAGCGCTTGACTGAGTTTCATTGCTTGCGGCTAATTGCCTTTCTTTTGATGGCCTTCCTAATTGCTACCTACAAATTCCAGTATATGTATATGTACATATAGTATACTTCTGATTCTATGTTCAACTGCATATATAAGCCGATATTGTGCTGGGCTCAAGTTGCAGTTGCATTTCACTGCGGTCCTTCAATTTTCCCAACTAATACGACGCGTGTAGCCGTTGCACGTGGCCAACTGCTAAGCCACTAAGTCGCAGAGGTTCTCCGACTCACGTGTATCAATAACTGTGCTTGAGCTTAACGTTACTTACCTCGGTGTCACGTGTAACCCGAAGTCCAGTGTCATGTTGCCCCGTCCTCTCAATATTTTTGGCAGTTTGCTTCTGCTGTTGCTGCTTTGCTGTGTCGCAACATTTGCTGTTGAGTTACGTCGCGATGAATCGGTAAGCTCGATTTAATGAATTATATAAGGGGTCAACGGGAATAGCTTACCTTATATTAGTAGCATACAAAGACAGGGTAACGAATTGAGTTTCCTTGCTGCCCAACTACCGCAATGTATCATTATTTAACGCGTTATTAACTGTTAAAAGTCAACGAAAGTGAAAGCCATAGCTAGGTTTTATTTAGAAATGATCCTAAAGCTATTTAGCTTTATGTTTTATATCGACATACAGGTTGGGTCAGAGATTCTGCAAACAACTGAAAAGAGAGGTTATTAGAGGGGAAGGAGAGAGTTTGGCTGGGAGCAGGTGGAAATTATGATTAAATTATTATGATTAAATCCAAAAGGGATTATATGTTACAATTCACAATCAATTGTGCATATATTTAGGGGAAGAGAGAACACCCCGACAATTAATTGTTGGAGGAACACAACGTCAAGGGTAGCTATCCGATTAGCCAAGAAGATTATCAAACAGAAGTCTGTTCGAGTGGGGTGGCAAAAAATGGTTGGCCTGAAGCCTTTTAATGTTTTAGTTTTATTTTGTCTCTTCAGGAAATTTTATCAAAGTTAATAATGACATTTATAGCATTAGTATTTTCATAAATATTTATTTAATAAAAAAAAATTATGATTGCAACAGCAAGTGCCCAAAGAATATTATAGTATATTAGTATAGTATATTCCTGCACATATAAAAATGTATCGAATATTTTTAAACATTTTTAAATCGTGTTAAATGTTGTGTAGAAACAGGAAAAAAAATTGCACAAAATTTGTCGATTTTTAAAAATATGTTGTGCATATAATGTTTCGGCACGTACTTGTTTGTATAAACATTTTTTGCCAGTATTTTGTAAAATATTTGATTACTTTACTTAAAGCTTCCAACTATTTAAAGAATTATCTTTAAAAATATATTCTTCTTCAAAATGTTCAATAATTTTTTTTCTTTTGAAAATATGTTTTTTACTTGTATTTCGCATTTGAATGAAATAAATGAATTAATTTTGTTTGTGCATAGTATCCGCCACCAGAACTTTTAAAGGAACTGGCACCCGTTCATGATAGCTGCATTAAGAAAACAGGGGCCACTGAAGGTAAGCCAAGGGGAAAATACTTTGTATACTGTGACATATTCTTGTTAAGCAAATGGGCACATTGACCAACGACAGCGAGTAGTAAAGTGCAAAGGAAGCTTTCGACTGCCACTGTCATCCGTCGGTGTAGCTGTAATGGAACCTCTGTCATGTTACAGAAGCAATCAAGGAGTTCAGTGATGGCGAGGTGCACGAGGACGAGGCGCTGAAGTGCTATATGTATTGTGTCTTTGATGAAACGGATGTGCTGCACGAAGACGGAGAGGTGCATTTGGAGAAGCTGTTGGATAGGTTGCCCGACTCCATGCACGACATTGCGGTGCACATGGGGAAGCGTTGTCTTTACCCCAAGGGCGACACAAAGTGCGAGCGTGCCTTCTGGCTTCATCGCTGCTGGAAAGAGTCGGATCCCAAGGTAAATGGCAATCCTCTGATCCTTAAGCAATTGGTCATGTTTTATAATACTTAAATCCCCCCTTGGCAGCATTACTTCCTCATTTAAAAGCTGATGAATGACCACGCGGAGTTGATAACCGAGATGACAAACAAAAATATATGAATATCTAATTTGATTTCGTAGTACACGTTTTTTTTCCAAATAGAGTTTTTGACGAGCATTCCACAAAATCAAAATTGCATATATAAATTCTGTTTGTATGCATATTTATGTGTGCATGAAGTGTTTTCACAGCTGTCACATTGCCCAGGGTCATTGGCAATTGCATTTGAAATACTCGTACGTATTTGCGTCCATAATTGTCACGGCTGATAGATTGCGCTCATAACTTCGGCGATACGCGTGTTTATCTGTATGGTGGGGCGTATGACCTAAAGCATATTTAATTATTTAATTAGCGCTATCTAAAGAGCAAATCTATAATTTTATGCATCGACAAGCATTAATGGGTCTATAATAAAATTAATATGCGGCTGCAAGTGGTGGCCATCAATAATTATAGTGCACTATCAATTTCATTCACATTCGCATTCAATACAATTCGACTGCACTGAGTGCCTAAATGTGTACGTGTATGTGTGTGTAGGTGTGGATGTTTAACTTAAAAGTGTATTTTTTTTTGTTTGCGTGTGCACCTAGATTTTGCAATTTATCATTTGATCCATTTAATGTTATTGACATAGCATTTCAACGCAGCGGTTTTTCAACCAACCAAGCAAACGAACCAACTCATACCACCTAAGAGCGCCTAAGCGAATAGTCGAGAGAGCGCGAGAGCGAAAGAGCGTATGAACGAATGAGTGAATGAAGCAACAAAGGAATCACCGCTCGCTCAACCAAGTCCGAAAATAGCCACCGTGTGAGCTAAAGCGAGTGTGGCGCTGAGCGTTGAGCGGCGGCGGTTTTTCGTGCAGCGTTTCTAACAGAACGTGAGTTCAAGGCACGCTGCAGGCCCAATATCATCTACACAAAAGTTTTTAGTGTAGAGGATCGAGTGAGTGGTGAAGGAAGGGAAAAAGCCCCTCTCTTTGGCCGGATTAATTAATGATAATTATTGCCGTATAATGCAAGAGCGGGCAGATTAAATTGGTGGGATTACGCCTTCGGTGCCCATTGCGGTCTTTAAATCCGTGGGAAAACTATCATCCTTGACTCCCTCCACAATTCAATTTTTTTTTCATTTCGATTCATTTAATTTTATTTTGTATTATTTTTTTGTTTTTTAATTCAAATTGTATATGTTACCTCTGACTATGAAGAAATTTTGAAGAAATTAGTGAGATTAATTATTTGTTTAAACCTTTTAATGATCGCTATATATTAACAATTATAGCTTTAACTTAATTTTATAATTAAGGTTGATAGACCACTATTTTCGTTTCAATTAAATAAAAAGAAATTGCAATAAATCGTTTCATATGCAATTGTAAGGTAGAATGATTATTATTGTTAGGTTAGGCTGGTAGTGGTAATGGCATGTAAACACAAGATTTGTGAATAGTATTTGAGGTTTTAAAATTATTATGTCTAGTATGGAAACAAACCGTCAAAACCGTAATTCCGTCAATTGCATGTTAAAAGCATACAGATAGATTTTCATTTCCATGTTCACACAAGGCGGCAGCAGAGAAATATAAAACATCACCACCAATTAATGTTTTGCAATACAGCAATGATAGTTAAAGTACATATTTTCGGTAAATACAAGTACCTCAATTGGTATGTTTGTAAGTTTTTAAATACTTGTACATGCTAAGCGAAATTTCAGCAGGTTTATTAAGTTGCCTTTCTGACAACTTAATTCAATAGATTGCCAATTGTTCTGCAGTACGATGTACTAATGTACTATGTACCGTTCATTGCTGTTACAATTTAAATTTCATATTTCAGTCATTTCACAACTCGCAGTTGGCATGAGCGTTGACAGGAAATGTCAGCGAGAACCGAAATTTGAATTGAATTTGACGTACGTTTTGGCGTTATTTGATTTTTATGACATGTCTCGCGTCGTATTGTTGCGTTTATTGTGACGTGTGATGTATACCTACATATGTATGCCACGCCCAACCTGGCTACGCCCACACGCTTATACAAATAAAACAAAAGCCCCGCCCACGTGTCAGGCGGCTCGTTCAGCAGCAACCCAATCGACACTGCAAATTATATGCGAGCTGTCATGCAATTTGAGCCTAATTGATGTTTTCATGTTCGTGTATTCCATTTGCCATTTTGCTATCAAATATAGTTCAAGAGTTGGCTTCATGTTCCAAGGGCTGTGGAACTTTGCATGCCAATTCCAATGTGTACTCAATGTGCTTTTGAAATTGTATCAAAGACGCCCTAATTACGGTGATCAGCAATTGGTAATAAAATATTATTAAAACATCATTTTCCTGTTGACAAACGAATAAAAGGGCTGCCTTTGAGACTCTCAAATACTAAATCGAAATAATGCTTAGACTTAGTTTTATGTTATTGGCCCTTGGTTATGCATCGGCCCAGGCTCCGCGGCGCGATGAAGAGGTTAGTTAATGGAAATTATAATTAAAAATAAATAAAACACTTTCTGCATTTCCTGTAGTATCCACCACCGGTTATGCTAAAAATAACAAACCATTTTCGCAAAATTTGCATCGAAAAAACCGGCGTCACTGAAGGTAAGATAAGATGAAGGATCTAAAGTTTGAATAATAATTACAGCTCTTCCCAAAGAGGCTATCCATGAGTTCAGCGATGGACACATCCACGAGGATGAGAATCTCAAGTGCTACATGAATTGTCTATTTCACGAGTTCGATGCAGTTGACGACAATGGTGATGTGCATCTGGAGAAACTGTTTTATGCCATGCCGGGCCAGCTGCGTGATATATTAATGCGACTGTCCAAGGACTGCATACATCCAGAGGGTGATACGCTATGTCACAAAGCCTGGTGGTTCCATCAATGCTGGAAGAAGGCAGATCCAGTGCATTATTTCTTATTTTAACTGTTTAAGATTTCCTTGAAGCAGTAAATAAATAAAGATACAATTTTTCACCATAAATAATCGAGTACTTACAATAGGATAGGAGTTCACGTAGCAGGTTTGGTAATCACGCCATAACTCCAAAAATTTGTGCAGATTATATAAAATACCCTAAAATAAAGACAGTACACGATAGTACTTGGTTCTAGATAAACTACATTTATAATCGGATTTCTTTGAACAACGCATGCAATATGTTTTTGGTGTTTAATTATTAAAACTGGAATCATTTTAATATATTTTGTTCATTAAAGCCTAATATGTTTCGATTGGTCTCAGCTCAAGACAATTTGTGGGACTCATTCGCAATGAAATCCATTATTGTTGCATGCTGCCTTGTGAAAATAACGTGAATTCAAAAATAAAAGCCGTATTTTGATGGAAGTCTGCGTTAGCAATATCTTTTAGCAACTTTCCCTCAATATATTAAATGAACAGTACTTTCTGTACTTTTCGTACTAATGTGGCGATAGAAACATAAGATATGATTTAAGCGCGGCATAACTTATCCAAAAAATTTCCAATGATGAAACAAGATTTTTGGGATAATTGTTTATCTCGTAGCAAGTTCACTGATGAGTAATAATTGGTTTCATTGGTTGACACTTGTGATTGATTTTTTGACAAAAAAGAAATAAGGATGTCGAAGCCATTAAAAAGGCTGGCACTACCTGTTAATTTTAAAGAAATAAGCACAAAATTCACTTTGTCCTGTTTACGTTGCGAAACACTTCAATACATTACGAATTAATACATTTTTCAGATGTCAGATATCAATATCTTGGTTTCCTTATTCCTGAATTTTGCTAACTTTATTACAAATTTAAAAATTACGTGTTGTTTGGAATTTTTCAGCTTTGAACTCGCTATATATTTATAAAAAAGAGTGCAGCACAGGTTGTTTTTCCAAATTGTTTCCACTCAATCTCAAAAAGTTGATACATTGTTTATATGGATGTCACACATTTTTCCATAGTGCAACATGAAATTTCACTCACAAACATTCACACAAAAACAAACGCTTACAAATTGACTTATACTCGTATTCGATTTATAATTATTGTAAATGTTTAGAATTATTGGATGAAATAGCCCACAATTCTATCAGATACGTAACCCTTGGAAAATTGCTGGGTTGGTTTAATGTTAAGGTCAGCATAGAACTTAAACAATAGAGCTTATGTTCGTACGTGTTAAATAGGTATTTGTATAGTAGTTGCAGGCTGTCGGAAGGTATTCGTTAGTACCTTCCTCTTTATAATGTACAATTAAAATATGCCTTAGACATCTTTATGACTGTAATTATCAAATCTTTATCAAACTGTCAACTTTTGACTAAATATAAAGCCGAGCTTAACACAATTCTTTCAGATTTGAGTGAAACACTGCGAAGATGCTGAAACTTATTTGTGTTCTTGTTCTGCTTGGCTATACTGCCGCACAGGCGCCACGTCGGGATGAACAGGTTAGCCCTAAGACTACAAGTATATAGCTTAACTTATTCCCTTTAATATTGTACACATATTGTAGTATCCCCCACCAGCACTTTTAAGAATGGCCAAGCATTTCCATGATATTTGCCAGGGAAAAACGGGTGTCACTGATGGTAAGTTGACTTTCGAGAGTTTAATCGGTTCTATTAAGCTGTCGAAATGTTATTAGAGGCTATTAAGGAGTTCAGCGATGGTGAAATACATGAGGACGAGAAACTCAAGTGCTATATGAATTGCCTATTCCACGAGTTCGATGTGGTCGATGACAATGGGGATGTGCACTTGGAGAAGCTGTTCAATTCCATCCCGGGCCCATTGCGTGATATATTGATGAATATGTCCAAGGATTGTGTGCATCCACAAGGTGATACACTGTGCGAGAAGGCGTGGTGGTTTCATCAATGTTGGAAGAAAGCAGACCCCGTACACTACTTCTTAGTTTAAAAATATGTCATATTTGAAGTTGTATTCGTAAGTGTATCAATTACAATAAAAGAGGTTTTGGGTTCTGTCTTAACGTATCAAATAAGAACAAATAAAAAAACTGTTGAAAATATTATAATGTGATTATATAGAACATAACAGAAACGGAAGTGTAGCTGTGTATAGCGAATATTGAATGAAGATTTAAAGAACAACAAGTAATGAACGAGCAGAATGATGGAATCAACAGTTATTATCAACGCAGACGTAATAGCTTAAGTTATTTCCTTCGACTTTAAAGTGGGGCTGCGCCTTCTGACGAACGAGCGGCTAAGGACATTGCTTACAGAACTTGCGTATTACTGTCGTTAACAGTGGCATCCACTGAGGACTCTTCTTCTTTTTTGCTATGCATTGATTTCCCTTCCTTCTAAGCTTAAATCATTTATAATGTACAATGTATTTACAATAATGTAGATATGGCTGGAGCGGGGACAAAGAAGGTCCATTGTGATGCCATTTAGTGACGTTTGGTTTAATTGTTGTTGCTCGTCTAGAAAGGCAATAAGCCTGAGTCTGCTGAGAACTGGACCGTAACAAAGGCGGAGTTCCACGTTTTCTTGTTTTATATTGTTGAACTGTCTATGTAACTTAAAACTATCAATACAAGCATAGCGAACAGGGTCCTCAATGAATATTTCTATTACTTAATGGTACATCCATTGGAATGAAATTATATAGATATTGAACAATTCTAAATAGATTAAGTACACATTATGAACAATCGTTACTTAAATAGTTGAACTTTTCCAAAACGCAAAGCATATTATTTACACACGCAATTTCTATGGTATATTTGTTGATATGTATATATTTTGTGTATTTGCAACGTCCCCTCAGCCGTAACTGTCTCAAGTTGCCACAGACGACCTGCACTTGATTTAAAAGCGTTGGAATTCGTGCACTAGATAGGTTCAGCCAATGATTAACTGCACGCCGCTGGGCGTTTGCAAGGGTGGGGCTAGGCCACGCCCCCATTACAATTTATATAAACATGGCAATAGACGGGCACTGACTGGATGCGGGAAGGGCGAGGATTTCAATGCGATTCAGAGTCACAGCATGGGCCTTAGATCGATATAAAAACCAACTGCTCGAAATGGCAATAAAGCACATTCAATTGAGGCAGCAGTTGTCAAACAATTTTAGCGCCTGTCGAACAAGTTTGGAGAGTGGGGCTAAAAAACGAAAGGGGTAAAAAAAAAAAACGGAGACGAGAACAAAAGGCGGACGAGGACGAGGATGCATGTGTTGTGAAAAACTAAAATTGAAATAGCAATTAAAAAACCATCGTTCACGCAACATCAGACGATGATATATTTTCATATAGTTGTTGTGTATGCATGTGAATGGTCGTTGTAATGCTAAAAACTGAATTTGCTTTATTTGTGTGTAGGTGCGATTATGTGCCTCATGTGTATGTGAATCTGTGTGTGTGTGTGTGTGTGTGTGTATGTGATGCCAATGTCGTTTTGTGGCTTTGTTTCGGTCGCGCTGACATTTGACGAAACAAAAGTGACAGTTGTGCACAAGTTGAAGTCTGTGTATTGTTTTGGCTGTGCAATTTAAAACAACAAAAAGAAAAGATGAAAAAAGCAACAGAGGAGGAGAAAGAGAAAATAGGAAATTTTATATTTTTATATGGCTTGAAATTGTTGTGTGTGTGTGTGAGTGCGTACGTTTGTCAAAATTAACACGACAATTGTGCATTGTGGACGATGGCGTGGCCACTGGTGCTGATGCTGATGTTGATGCTTTTGCTGGCGCTGGCGCTGACGTCTCGGGTACATTTCCGCTTCCGTTTGCCGTGCTTTTTGTTCGACGGCGGTGGTGGTCCGAATTAATTTAGCGTGTGCTGAGCTAGCAAGAAACAAATGATTTTTTGTTGGTTTCCCACTGGCTTCCTGAAATAAAAATTACAAAAACGGCGCTAGCAAAAAGTTTCATACACACACACACATACACACAACACACACACACACATACATATACATATTGTCATTGTCCAGCTGTCACGCGTGGCAAGTTGGCAGCGTCAACCACGTCCTCGTCGTCCTTGTCGTTCTTATAGTCATCGCTTTTGTTTCGTCTCTTTTACAACTCGCAAACAAGGCCGCACACAAATTTTTGCTGTTTTACAGACGAGCGACATAAAAATGGCTTTGAATGGCTTTTGCCGACGTCGTCGTTGTTGTTGTCGTCGTCGTTCTGCAGCCATTGCAGCCTGCCTGTTAATCGCCTTGTCAGTGTTCAGCGATGCGCCGCTGCCAGCGGAGGCGCAGCGTCCCGAAAACGTAGGTTAATGAAGTGCAGGCCACGACAGCACTCACTCACGCTTAGAAAAGACTCACACTCACACTCGCTCTTACACTTACACTCCCACTCACACACTCGTACACACACAATTTTAATTGCAGTGGCCACCCCCAGCCCTACTGAAAATGGCCAAACCCTTTCACGATACCTGCGTCGCCCAGACGGGCGTTGATGAGGGTGAGTTGTGAGAATGACAATTAGTTGGAAATACAAGACTTACAGTACATGTGCACTTGTTTGCGATGCAGCCCATATTAAGGAGTTCAGCGACGGACAAATCCACGATGATGAGAAGCTCAAATGCTATATGAATTGCCTTTTCCACGAAATCGATGTGGTCGACGATAATGGCGATGTGCATTTTGAAAAATTGTTTTACACCGTGCCCATGACCATACGTGACAAGCTAATCGAAATGTCCAAGGGCTGCATGCATCCAGAGGGTGATACATTATGCCACAAGGCCTGGTGGTTTCATCAGTGCTGGAAAAAAGCTGATCCGGCTGTAAGTAGAGCTCATCTATTATGATTCTCAGTTATCCATGCATAATGTCTATTTCCAGCACTACTTTCTACCTTGAAGTGCGACACAGTGCCTTCTCACGTCATCATAGTGGCTTATTCTGTATATACATTGTACTTTTTGTGTTGGTTGAAATGTCTTAAATATATATAGCAGTTCAGAAATTGTCTGAAGTGTAAAGTTAAAGCCGAAATGTAGTCCATTTCATGTTCTTATTGTTGTTGCGGGGCATTAAAAAGGGGAGAAGCAAGTGAAAAAGGTTTAACATTTTTACACTACAAAAGCAACTTTGCTGTGCGCTAAAAAGTCTGCAACATAAACAAGCGCCTCATACTCACACATATACACACACACAAAGCAGACGCACAAAGGCAAACACACACAACCACACACACACGAGTACACGCACATACTCACCAATATTATGACATAAATTACGCGCATTTAACGCGTTGAGCGCTCCACTGCCGCTTTGTATGTTCTCTACTTTTTCTTTTGCACGGGTTCGCTTTCTCATACATATGCACATGTGTTTGTTTGTTAATGCATGTATGTATGAGTGCGAGATTGTGTGTGTGTGTGTGTGTGAGCGTGCTAGGGTATAAATAACAATTATGCGTAAAGTTTTCAAGCTTGTTGACAAGCGTGTAACAGGGAAAAATTTGCATATGAGCCTTTTTTCAACGCAACGTTTCGCCTTTGCTTTCACGTTTTGCTTTTGCTTATTGTTGCTTTTTGCTTTATTTATTTATTTATTTATTTACTTTTTACTTGAAGAGCTGTGAAAAATATGTTCACAGACATATTTAACATTTTTCTGCAAAAACATGTTGGCATATAAATTAGACCAACGGTTGTTATTCGATCGTTGGAATGGAAACATTGAAAGGCATGCTATTTTCATCTTTAAAGTTGAGATAGAGCATTGAACGATAACTGATTGTTGGAATACCCCTATTCCTTATACAAAAATACCATTGTAGTATATATATCGGTTTGTTTGATTCTTTTAGTATTAATGAAAACATATTTTATGGCCACACTGCGGTTGGCATCTTCCTCTTCTCTTGTTCACTCTGTTCAAGTGAGGTTGTGTTGCTGGTGTTGCGGAATTAAATATAAAGTTGAATATAAAACATAAAGCATATATCTTGAGTGTTATTATTTGGGTGTATAATTCAAGTATAAATTACAACAGGTTATGGGCCCAGTCCATGCCTAATAAACAATTGACTTGTGAAACAGTTTTATTTTTCAATTTCTTATGAAAAAGTTTCATTTCAAATTCTTGTGAAATTGCATCGAGTTAGTTCCACGTCATTTTTATTACTGTATATATAAAAGAATAAAATGGACAAGGCAAAACGAAATATCAAGCCGTTCGATGGTGAAAAGTACGCAATTTGGAAATTTAGAATTAGGGCTCTATTAACTGAACTGGGTGTACTTAAGGTTATTGATGAAGATGTGCCTGAGAAAGTGAATGAACAATGGAATAAGGCAGAACGTTGTGCAAAAAGTACGCTAATAGAGTACCTTAGCGACTCGTTTCTGAACTTCGCTACAAGCGACATAACGGCGCGTCAAATTCTTAAGAATTTAGACGCAGTATATGAACGAAAAAGTCTGGCGTCGCAGTTGGCAGTTCGAAAACGGTTGCTTTCTCTTAAGCTATCGAGTGAGATGTCGTTATTGTCCCATTTTAATATTTTTGATGATTTGATAAGTGAATTGTTGGCCGCAGGTGCAAAAATAGAAGAGATGGATAAAGTGTCTCATTTGCTGATCACATTGCCTTCGTCTTACGACGGTGTCATTACAGCAATAGAGACGTTATCAGAGGAAAATTTGACATTAGCGTTTGTGAAAAATAGATTGCTAGATCAGGAAATTAAAATTAAAAATGACCATAATGACACAAGTCGGAAAGCTTTAAATACGGTTGTGCAAAATAGAAACTACAGTTTTAAAAACAATTCATTTAAAAATCGTGTAACGAAGCAAAATAAAACATTTAAGAAAAATTCTAAGAATAGGGTTAGATGTCACCACTGACAAAGAGGGCCACGTAAAAAGGGATTGCTACCACTATAAAAGAATAATAAATGAAAGAAATAATAAAAATAACGATAAACAAGCTAAAACCGCAACATCACATGGCATTGCATTCATGGTAAAAGGGGTGAAAGAAGACCCGGTGATAAATAAATGTGGATTTATCCTCGATTCCGGTGCAAGTGATCATCTAATAAATGATGAGTCGCTATACACCGATAGTGTGAAGTTGGTGCCGCCACTGAAGATCGCTGTGGCCAAGCAAGGCGAATATATTTACGCATCTAAGCGTGGCATCGTACGTTTGCGCAATGACCACGAAATAACACTGGAGGATGTGCTGTATTCCGAGCAGGCTGCTGGAAACTTGATGTCGGTGAAGCGCCTACAAGAGGCAGGAATGTCAATAAAATTTGACTAAAAATGGATTGACGGTGGTCGAGAATTCAGGTATGTTAAACAATATACCTATTGTAAAGTTTCAAGCATATACTATAGATGCGAAACATAAAAATAATTTTCGATTATGGCATGAGAGGCTTGGCCATATAAGCGATGGCAAATTGTTAGAAATAAAAAGAAATAATATGTTTAGTGATAACAGCCTTTTAAACAATTTAGAGTTATCCCACGAAATTTGCGAATCATGTTTAAATGGGAAACAAGCAAGGTTACCGTTTAAGCAATTTAAAGATAAGACCCACATTAAAAGACCCCTATTTGTAGTGCACTCAGATGTTTGTGGTCCCATTACTCCAGTTACTCTAAATGATAAGAATTACTTTGTGATCTTTGTTGATCAGTTTACACACTATTGTGTAACTTACTTACTAAAACACAAATCTGATGTATTCAAAATGTTTGAAGACTTTGTAGCGAAAAGTGAAGCTCATTTTAATTTGAAAATTGTTAATTTATATATCGACAATGGTAGAGAATACCTCTCAAATGAGATGCGTCAGTTTTGTGTTAAGAAAGGTATTACTTATCACTTAACAGTGCCACACACACCTCAATTAAATGGCGTTTCAGAAAGGATGATTAGAACCATCACAGAAAAAGCTCGTGCCATGGTAAGTGGTGCAAAACTTGACAAAAGTTTTTGGGGTGAAGCAGTGTTAACTGCAACTTATTTAATTAACAGAATTCCAAGCAGATCAATTGTTGATAGTATGATGATCCCATATGAGATGTGGCACAATAGAAAGCCCAATTTAAGACATTTAAGAGTGTTTGGTGCAACTGTATATGTACACAACAAAATCAAAAAAGGAAAATTTGATGAAAAATCATTCAAAGCTATTTTTGTGGGTTACGAACCAAATGGTTTTAGATTGTGGGATGCTGTTAAGGAAAAATTTCTCGTTGCAAGAGATGTGGTTGTCGATGAAACCAATATGGTTAATTCTAGAGCTGTTAAAGTTAAAACAGTATTCCTGAAATATAGTAAGGAAAGTGATAATACGAATTTCCCGAATGATAGTAAGGAAATTGATGAAGTAAAATTCCCGAATGATAGTAAGGAAATTAATGAAGTAAAATTCCCGAATGAAAGTAAGGAATGCGACAACGCACAATTCCCGAATGATAGTAAGGAAATTGATGAACATTTTCTGAATGAGAGTAAGAAAAGAAAGCGAGATAGTTTCCTGAATGATAGTAAGGAATCAAACAACCCGAATGAGAGTAGGGAAAATGAAACAGCAGAACACTTAGATGAAATTGGAAATCCAAGTAATACTGATGACATTGAAATAATGAGTAGAAGAAGTGAGAGATTAAAAACGAAGCCCCAGATATCATATAATGAAGATGATATTAGTTTAAATAAATTCATATTAAATGCTCACACCATCTTCAACGATGTTCCAAACACATTTGATGAAATTCAGTATAGGAAGGATAAATTGTTTTGGGAGGAAGCCATAAAAACAGAACTAAGTGCTCATAAATTAAATAATACCTGGACAATCACAGAAAGGCCTAAACATAAAAACATTGTAGATAGCAAATGGGTATTTTCCGTTAAATATAACGAACTAGGAAATCCAATTAGATATAAAGCTAGATTAGTTGCAGGAGGATTTACTCAAAAATACCAAGTCGATTTTGAAGAGACTTTTGCTCCTGTAGCTAGAATTTCAAGTTTTCGATTTATATTATCGTTAGCAATTCAATATAACTTGAAGGTTCATCAAATGGATGTAAAAACAGCTTTCCTAAATGGCACGTTAAAAGAGGAAATATATATGAGACTTCCTCAAGGTACACCATGCAATGGTGATAATGTATGTAAATTGAATAAGGCAATTTACGGACTCAAACAAGCCGCAAGATGCTGGTTTGAAGTGTTTGAGCAAGCATTGAAAGACTGTGAATTTGTGAACTCTTCAGTAGATCGCTGTATTTATATTCTAGATAAAGGTGATATCAAGGAAAATATTTATGTGCTGTTATATGTTGATGATGTGGTAATAGCTACGGGGAATATGATAACAATGAATAATTTCAAAAAGTATTTAATGGAAAAGTTTAGGATGACCGACCTAAAATAAATAAGACATTTTATTGGTATTAGAATAGAAATGTATGAAGATAAAATTTATTTGAGCCAAGCTGCATATGTGAAAAGAATCTTAAATAAATTTATCATGTATAATTGCAATGCAGTAAGTACTCCCTTACCAAGCAAAATAAATTATGAGTCTCTTAATTCAGATGAAAACTGCAATGCTCCATGTCGTAACCTCATAGGATGTTTAATGTACATAATGCTAAGTACACGTCCAGACTTAACTACTGTAGTAAATATCTTGAGCAGATATAGTAGTAAAAATAATCCCGAGCTATGGCAGTGCTTAAAAAGGGTCCTTAGGTATTTAAAGGGCACTATTGATATAAAACTGATTTTTAAAAGAAATGCAGAATTTAAAAATACATTAATTGGCTATGTAGATTCTGATTGGGGAGGTAATGAAATTGATAGAAAGAGTCTCACAGGGTATTTATTCAAAATGTTTGATTTAAATCTAATTTGTTGGAATACAAAGAGGCAGAACTCAGTAGCAGCTTCATCAACTGAAGCTGAGTACATGGCATTATTTGAAGCTGTGAGAGAAGCGTTGTGGCTAAAATCTCTTCTTAAAAGTGTTCATATCAATCTCGAAAATACAATTAAAATTTACGAAGATAACCAAGGCTGTATTAGTATAGCAAATAACCCCTCATGTCATAAACGAGCTAAACATATTGATATAAAATATCATTTTGTCAGAGAGCAAGTTGAAAGTAATACAATTTATCTTGAGTATATTTGCACAGAGAAACAACTTGCTGACATCTTTACAAAGCCACTACCTACTGCAAAATTTTTGGAATTACGTAATGAATTGGGATAACTGCAAGATGACGGATCTGTTGATTGCTGATGCTGAAGTTTTTTTTTGTTGTCACATTTGAATTGAAATGTTTTTTTTATTAGTTCTTAAAAACATGAAGTTATAAAAATTTAATTGTATGTTAACATATATGTAAGAGTGATCTGATCGGGTTTTTCTGGGTTTTCCCCGTATCCTTGCAGCGAATGCTGGATCACATAATTATTCCCAGAATGCACACCGCACACACTAGAATAAGTATATGAGAATTACAAAAGATTGCTATATGTTAAATTTATGATTTATTAATGTTATTTTTGAGGGGGCGTGTTGGAATACCCCTATTCCTTATACAAAAATACCATTCTAGTATATATATCGGTTTGTTTGATTCTTTTAGTATTAATGAAAACATATTTTATGGCCACACTGCGGTTGGCATCTTCCTCTTCTCTTGTTCACTCTGTTCGAGTGAGGTTGTGTTGCTGGTGTTGCGGAATTAAATATAAAGTTGAATATAAAACATAAAGCATATATCTTGAGTGTTATTATTTGGGTGTATAATTCAAGTATAAATTACAACACTGATTTAGTCAGATATGGCATTAGGACACTCTCTGTAAGAACTAGCTTTCTTTCCAAATTGAATCACTTGAACCAACGTTTATTAAATCCAAATACATCCTCAGCGTTATTTGCAGTAGCTTTTTGGGAAGATTAAACTTTAATTTTGAATCAAAAGGTTCTCCACGATATTCGAGTTTACATAGCAATAGCACATTGCCAATTCAATAGATAAGTGGCTAAATTGCAGATACGTCATGAACTGACATTTAGAACTAATACTATATATTAGAGAATGGAACAAGGTAGAGGTGAGAAGTAATAATAAAGAGCCCAGATTAATACTTTTACCTGCGGTTGCATGAAGAACCTTGAAATAGAAAACTTAAGCAGCAGAGTCAAATGCATTTTATTAATGGAATAACATAAATGCAAGTACAGAAAATTATACCAGTGAAGGTCAAAAAAGAAGGATTAGTGTTGATGTAGCTTTCCAATTACTTAGGGAGTTGGCATCTAAGCCGTCCAGTCGTCTTAAAATAAATGATTGCCCGAAATTTCTTTTATTCCTAATTTCTTGCCGACAACTGGAGTTGGCAACTGGAGTTGGCAGTTCATTAGGGAAGTCCCTTAGAAAAGTTAATAAACTAACAGATTCTAGGCAGTTTTGAAAATATTACTAAAAATTGTGTAATCGGATTTAGGATGTTATGAAATCATTAAACCTCTTCATTTTTTCATTTTTTAAATTAGTTATATACTTTAGATTTTAAGCAAATACTATATAGTTTAACAGTTTGCTTTCGAAAAATATATAAAATGTGAATATTTCTTCACAAGCTGAAAAACTTGCTTATGATATTTTCACTTCTCGAGTTCTTGTTTTAAGCATACAAAAAATAGTTCATAATGCTATAAAACCAAAAATCTATATATTTCCTCACATTTATCGATATTTTGACTATTTGCTTCTGCATTTTTTAAGCTTTATTCAAATATTAATAAGTTGTATAAAATATTTACTTTGCGGTCAACATTTGGGCCAAACAAGTGCGCTAACGTCATTGATTTTTATTGTTTCTACCACTTGTTGCGCACAAGAGCTTTACATTTTCCTACCGATGATTTATGTTGCAAGTTCTTGCCCACTTTTTATTATTTTCTATGCCATATTATTTATGCGTATTGCTTTTTGTAAATGAGTAATAAGTTTACTTTGAAACACCACCCTCTCTGGCGCTCAAATATGGGCATCAAGTTTTTTATATTTGTAATTGTCAGCGGATTAGCTGCCAATGTCCATGAGCTTTGTTCGCCTTCCTTTGCCATTATACGCAGCTGACGTTTTTCAGTTTGTCGCTGCAGAGCTATTTCTTTCTGCTGGTCTAATTTACCACCCCTGGCCAGCTTGTCATCATTACTTTCGACTTAATATCATCAGACTAATTTTTTGGGATTTCAAAAGAATAAAAAGCGTATCTGTCGGCGCGCTCAGTCGAGCGTAGTATACTTGTTTTTTGTGTTCGACCCCCAGACTGCTAATTTGCTAAATTGAAAATTTTTGACAGCCTTCAATGAAGTGAAACTTGCGACACTTTATGTCGCTTCATGCGCTTCATTGATGCCTCAGCATATTGTGTGCGGGCCATCAATGGATTTCCACACGAGCAACTCGACACTTTGGATTTTTCGGGCACCGTAGTAGCTGCTGCTGCCTTTGTCGCAGCTTAGGCGGCCAATTAGTTGCCCAAATGTTAGTTAATTTCCGGCAAATGTTGTTGCCCAATAATGACAAAATCGTGTAATTGAATTGGTGGTAGGGCGCCCACTTACTTGCTTAGCACTTAGACCGACTTGCAGTGGTTAAAAATTAAAGCCCATATAGAAAAAATAGCTGTTGAACTTTTTAATTACAATTTTTGTTGTCTGTCACTATTATGATGGTTGATCATACAAAAAAGTTCCGAAGCCTTTGTTGTTAAATATCAAAAGTGGAGAAAAATTAGCGTTACTGCATTGAAATATAAATATAAATAACAGGATACAAAGATAGAATAACTCTTATAGTAAATTCATTAATACACTTCGCAGTAATATTTAAGGTTATAAGATTCTCTAGCTCCGATTCAAGACACAAGAGTTATTTTAAAAAGGTGTTGACTGATTCATTAAAAATGCCAATAGCATCAGCAATGTTTCTAGTTGTTGATCATTTCTTTAATTTTCTTGAAAAATTCGTCTTTTTGCTTTCATAAGCTTGTGGTTTTGAAATATCTGTAGTCTGCAGAAATATCAATTTAACTGAACATCAATGAGAGCTTAGCCGTTTCCAAAATCCAGGCATTTATCTAGATGGACATGTCCATTTCGGTTCGTCTTCATGCTGATAAACAATAAGTATATTTATATACTACTTTAAGCATTTGGAGATGCTTTCTTCCCCACAATCTGAATATAGATTTACCTTTTGAATACAGGGTGTAAATCGACCATTTGTTCAATTGATTAAAGAATCGGTTTCATTTAGAAAAAAAAATGTCAATTAAAATAGTTTCGATAAGCCTACTATATTTATATACTATATTTATAAACTTTTTAAAAAGTGGGAAGGGGGTGGATGGATGAAGCTGAATTGTGCCAGGTGCGAGCTACTTTAAAAAAAATCCGTATTGGACAAATCGTTAGAGTCGAAAGCATTGTGAGCTTGTTTAAATCGAAGAACCTTTTCACTTACGACTTCAACAGAAAACAAACCATTCGTAGAATCTATCGTAATTTGAATTACAAGTATTAACAGATTTAATTTTCGAAATTTTAAAGCCACTGTGCAGGACTATTGGTTTTGGCATCTGCCTACATAATTAACCGCGAATTTGCGACCGATTCCATAGTCTGGGTGACCTGTTTGCTCAGGCATTTCATGCATTCGCAACTTGAAATTGACACAGTTGGCACTGAGAGTGCCGCGATGATTCGCCTTTTGCATAAAGTTACGGTTACGTGCCCCAAGCACAGTCCCCATTGCCATTGCTGTCTCCTTCACCATCACCGCCCACATTTTTCTTTCCTTTTTTTTGCTTGACCTAAACTGTAAAGGCGCACAATTAATGGAAGTTTAACTGTTCAATTGGAGCTGATTCTTTTCTTTTTTTTTGAGAATTTTTATGTGCCGCCGCTTTCTTTCTTTTTAAATAAGTACATGCTGTTCGTTGCGCCACCGCCCCGCACCATTCACGGTCCTGATTCGACGTGCCATTAGGGGCACTTTGTTCATTTTTCATTTCGTTGAATTTTTTTGCAAAAATAATATGAAAAATAAAAGAATTGCCTTTGCACTTATTTTACGCTCTATTGTTCGTATTGTCGGCCACGTCCAGCGCACTCGCTTTCGGCGGCCTGGTTTTTTTTCGGAGGGCTCATTTCTTTTGGTTCGCGGTCCGCGGACTGGTTGCTCGACCCATTCATATTTGGGCTGTTTTTTTCCTTTGTAGAAAAGTAATTCAAATGGAATTAAATTTTCCTATGCTTGCCCGCGCATTCGGCTCGATGTGGGTTAGTTGGGGCGTTTGGCTGTGCTTCTGCTTTTCATTCCAGCTTGCAGCACGCAATAGCCGCATAATTAGCATTCAAACGTGCCGCCCATGTGGCCATGTTGCCATGAAGCCTTGCAATTGGTGACCATTTTGTCTTTACCATGATCTGGCAACAACTCAACCGGGCATGCTGACACTTTTTGGCCGACAGCCCCCAACTTAATATGCAATGCGATTTGCATAAATTGACATTGAATGCAAATTTTTACAACGTTGCTGCAACACCACCAGCAACAGCACCAGCGACGGCGATCAAATTGTTTTCGATGTAAGCGTAAGCGCCGGAAAAAGCGAAACGCGAAAAATGCCAAGCTAAGCGTTAACAAACAAAAGTCGATAACGAAATAAGAGAAGTTCTCTCGATTTGTATAAAAAATCAAATTAGTGTGCAGCGCAAAATTGCAGTAGCAGCATCATCCGAGCAGGGGGAAGTAACAGCGAGGAGTTTTTTTTTGGAAACGTAACTGAATTCCAGCTACGAGGAAGCGTCAAAGGGGGACACCATCAGCTCAGCTGCGAAAGAATTGTACAATCAACCCAATGCCATATTCTGTTGCTGCTGCCGTACAATACTATATAGCGCCGCGTACTGTCATTTCGATTATATTTCAGCTCTATTTTTGGCTGTTTTTTAAGGTCGGCGCTTTGGTCAGTGGCGCTAGTCGCTCGATAAGACTGTTATCGTTTGTCCACCATTGAACAAGCTGAAAGGTTTAATCGAGTACTAAAAATGATGTTCAATATTCATACTATGTGGATAGGAATTAAAAAATATTTTTTCCATCACCACGACTAGAATGTATAAATCCATTCAGCTCTCGGCTTATGGTCTTTTCGCACATCAACAATATTGCTGCCAAAACGTGAGTAAACATTGAGCACTGGGTAACCATCTTTTTTCAGCTCTACATTTATTTATTTAGATATAACGTCAACATAATATAACGTCAAATACGTTAAATTATTCAAACCTAAAGCCAACAAGGAAGAGCCGGATAACATATCCGACATTTTGGGGCAAAAAAAAGGCAAGAAATATAATTCTGCTAAATACTGGTCAATGAAGAAAAAGAGGTAGTCTCCATCGTAGATTTAATAGCTAATTTTTAACGTTTGAATAATAATATTTAGTGTGTTTTTT